TGCCGCCTGTCTTCCACCATTCCAAACAGCTTGGACCAGTACATCTTAGGGGTTTCATTTCTATAGCATTTTCAGAAAGACTTAAAAGTAGCTTGGCCATATTTTCATCTAATGGAATCAGCGCCTTGATTGATAGGAACACGAGTAATCTGATTCCAAATTTCAGTAACCTCGTTCACCATGAATTCTGGTCTAACTGATCTTACCTCCTTTAGGAACATGAAATAATCTGATAATCATATGACTATAAGTCTGAACTAAGGAAGCAACATTCCACCATTGGTCCAAGTAAAACTTTACAGATTGCCCATCCCCAATCTGAAATTGGACATTTGCTGACATAAATTCTCTGACCTTACAGATCTTCCAGAAGGTGGAATTATTGTACATCAATGAACAAGACAAAAGAGAATCATGCTTAAGGTAAAGATTCTTCAACCATGGAATTCGAATCTAGCCTTCCTAGTCCCAAAATAAACTGCAACTCTTCTTAAGCCAAAACCCTCCTTCAAATTTTGGACAAGGAAGTTTACTTAATTGTAGAAGACAAAGTCTCTAAGAATTTATTTTGCCGTCCCAAAGGAAGGTTTTTTTATTTATTTCATTTTCTCAATCACAACAACTGGTAATTTGAAGGCAGCACAGCAATAATGGATAATAGAAAAGATCACAGATCTTATCAACTCAACCCTACGACACGTATTGTGTTTTGCAGCAATCTTGTCAGTCAGAGCTTTACAATCCTTCTTTTTAAAGCCTATATCAATCATAGCAAGGCCCAAATATTGTAGAGGCAAGGAACCACAGTTCATCTTCAAGATTTTGCAGAGAAATTTTCTTTTCCTTCTAACTGCTTTAGAGAAGAAGACCTTGCTTTTTTCAAAACCTACTTCCAGACCTGAGAGGGTTTTGAACTTATTAAAGATTAAAGATATTCAAGATATATTTAGCTGACCTCACACTTGCTTTTGCAATCAGAAATAGATCATCTGCATAAAAACAGTGTGTAAAGACCAACCCATTCGATTCAGCAGCAGCACTGGTGCGAACCCCCCATTATTCCTTTCAGCCTGAACCATAGAGGAGAAGAATTTTGTAATAAGTGTGAAAAAAAAGGGGAGAGATAGGGCACCTTGCCTCAAACCCTTTTTCGGTTGAAAATACCCTGCAGGAGTGCCAATTATTAATACAGGAAACCATGAGTTAGAGATGCATTCTTTTATCCATTCAATCCATTTATCCCCAAATCCAAAAGCTTTTAGAACATGAAACAAGAAGTCCCTAGAAACAGAGTCATATGCCTCATGGAGGTCTAATTTAAAGGCCATTGACTGATGGAACTTTGTAGTCTGAAACCCTCTTAGAACTTCATTCACCATAATGACATTATCACGGATTTTCCTGCCTTTCACAAAATCTGATTGCTCACAACCTACAATTCTGCAAATATTTAGTAATAAACACTGCTCGAATACTTTAGCAATTTAGTTCAGGTTTTTTTTTTTTTGTTGTTGTTGCAATAAACACTGCTCAAATTGAACTCGGAAGATCTATGTTTTTTTTCTTTTTTTTTGGAATTTTTATGCATATGGACAACTGAAAATGTGTAAGCTGTTCAGTTTTAGGGGAAGCGATGAGGCAGAGGGTTATGAAGGTGTTAGAACAGGAGAGAAGGTAAAAGAAGCTGTTGTGAAAAATTTGGGGAAGAGCAAAACTGTGGATCGGAGTCAGCAGAGGCAGCAAAGAAAGTGAAGAAAAGTGCTCACCAGCAGTGTTTTGATCAATTTTTGGGGACCCTTTTAGTCTATTACTGTACTAATATTTGACAAATGAGCTCAATTGAGTGCTCCAGTCTTCAACATTAGTCTACATTACATGACTCTTTCTCTTAGCTATGAATTGCGCTGTGTGGAAGCAAGCTTAAACTTCATAGCAAAACTTAGGGGGTGAATAGGGTTAACTCACACCTTTGCTTGTTTTTTTTAGATTATTTTAATTTATTATATTAAAATTAAATTAATCACACAAAATTATAAATATAGTGCGATGAAGTAAGAGATTGACTCAGGATTCTAGCATGGAAAAAACTGCGGAGACTTAGCTGTCTCTCACAGGCTCCCATCCACTCCTCATCCAATTGTCGTGGACTTGAAGAGTAAAAAAGGGTTGTTGGAAGAACTCCGAGAAAACTTTGTCCCCTTCTTAGTATAATTGACCCGTCTTCCTTAAAGAGTAGAGAAGGGTTGTTGGAAGAACTTCGCGAAAACTGTGTCCCTTCTTAGTATGACCTTCCTCAGCAACACGAATTTGAAAGTATGCATGTCCGAAAGAACAGTGTAAGTGCCACTGGTTGGGTCTAAGGTGTATAACTTTAGTGCCACACTCAGCATTGCGTGTGAGGATGAAGGAAACAATAATAATTACATAAAATAATAAGTGTATATATATATATATATAATTTTATAAACTATAAAATAAATTTCTCTCTCACTAAAACTCTTTTTTCTCTATTTGTTACCAAAAAAAATTTTAATTAATTTTTCTTGCCCGGAAGGTATTTGTAACCAAACAATTGAATTAAGTAATATACTCATTTATGTTTGGGCAAACCAGCAGTGTTTTTCCTGTAACTTTTCCTCAGTTTTTTTTTTTTTTTTTTTTTTTTTTTTTAACTAATTGGCTGAAGGATTTTAGGCTGGGAAGCCAATACTTCACTTGGTGGGCGGTGTTGTCACTTATTTTGGGGCCTTCAATACGCATATGTGGAGGCTGTCCAAACACGAAATATTTTTTTTGTTGATTAAAACGGCAGGAACATGTTTGGCAAAATGCAATTTAAGTATGCCAGTTCGTATTAATTAATTAAAATAATATAAGATTTTAGAAAACAAATATTTAGTGATGCACTCACTCCAAATTAGTAGTAAATTTCATTCATGATTATAGTAAAAAATTAATAAAAATTATTATTTATATTTAATATGTTATATTATTATTTTTTAACGTATTGCGTGTGCAGTGTATCCATAGCTAGATCTCAGGAGATGTTGAACATGACAACTAAAAATTGTTTGAATGGTCGGAGGAACGAAAAAAAAAAGAAACCCTGATCTACACGCTAAAAGATGGAAGTATTTTAATCAGAAGAGAAAAAAAATAAATAAATAAGACCCTAAGGTTCCGTTTCTTTCAACGTAAAATATTCATTTTAAAAAGTATTTTTTTTTTCAAGTAAAATATTTTTTAATTGTTACTTTGTCGGTGTTTGGTAAAAGACTACATCGAGGTTGAAGTCGAGTCCATCGGGTGTGATATGTAAAATAACTTACCAAAAATTGATGGATAAGTTAATTTTGTTAAATTTTTTTTTTTTTTTTCGTAAATATTTTACAACAACCAAATACCAAAAAATAAAAATAAAAAATTTTAAAAAATATTTTAAGTCCAAACAAACGGAGCCTTAGTTTCTCTCCATCGTTACATCTTAACTCTAAGGAGAATAATTTTATGAAAATTAAATATGCAAGAAGGTTTAATATTAGGATAGATTTGGGTAGAATATATCAAATCACCATTTGCTAAAGATTTTACATGGAAAAGCATATTTTGAAGAGGAAAAGAAAAAGAAGTGCAGTAGTGGTGTTCTATCGAGCGGTGAAGAGCCAGGTCTTAAGTATCCTTCATCTTATGATCTTATTCGAATTTTTTAACCTCTCTAACTAATTCTCTAACCATTGCAGTCAAAAGAAAAGAAACCAAAATAGAAAATGATATTATGATTTTAGAGATGCAGATTTTGAATTTTGATTCTATAATTAAGTTTGTTTAATAGAATCATGGTCAACATGCTCTGTTTTTAAATTAAAAAAAGGTACACACCTATTATGTCCCATATTTGATTCATCTTGTGAGGAGATATTATTGAATTATATTTTTAGTTATTAGTCTTCATCTTGGGAAAATTTAAAAAAAAAAAAAAAATGGTAAATTTTGGAAGATTTTATTATTTAGAGTTGGAGTTAAAGTCAACACTTTTCAAATTCATAAATCTTAAACAAAATTTGACGTGGATATGAAAAAATAATGTTCACTTGTCAAAACTACCTCTAGTATTTTTGTATTAATTTTGTGCGCGTAAGTACTACTCTTGTTCACACGCATATCATTTTTATGCAAACCAATTAATCAAAATTCTATGTACAAAAAGTGATACATTTGTTATAAAAGTGATACTTACATGTATAAACATGTTATCTCTATACAAAAATAGTATTTACCAATATAAAAGTAATACATTTATGCACAAAAATAATATTTCAAATTTGATGACAAAAGTAATATTTATATGTACAAAAGTACAAAATCTTGTACAAAAATAATACTTACATCCGCAAAAGTACATAAATTTGAAAGGTGTGTTTGACTTCATCTCTCGGCAACAAAACCTTCCAAATTAAGTATACACACACACACACACACATATATATATATATATATATATATTAATTTTTCTCTAAAACATCTATTAAAAGATTGCTACCGAGTAATTTTTTTTTTTCCATTTCATATCAGTCTCATATTTTATTATATTATGAACTCTAATGATTAAATTCATACAAAATTATTAAATGAGAAGAAAAAAAGGGAAAAAATATTTTTATTTTTAAAATATTGGTCCGAAATGGACCTACTGCAGAAGTTAGTTTCTTTTTGAGACACGTACAAAAGGTAGTTATAAACAGATTAGTTTTATTTCCGCCAAGTTTCTTGCAATAGTTAGTAAGCGTTAACAGAAAATATAAATTACCGTTTAGCCCTTAAATTATATGATGCCGTTTTAAGTTATATACAACTTCAACTGATGTGGCAAAATCGGGTTTAGTGTACAAAAATACACTCATTTTGAATTTGCCACCTCATAATAACTTGGGCATTTATGTAGTTTTAAAAACCAACAACCGCTACTTATCTCTGCATATCTCCCTCCCATTGTCGAACAAATCACAATGGTTGCACCTAGGGGCCATTTAGTCATTAAATATGTAACAAAAGGGCTTCTCGTTCCAAAAGGTACAACAATCACAGCAGAGATTTTCAAGTATATAATGAATCTGGTTTAGGGCAAGCTTCATGTTTTCTCCAAACCCTAAATAAACGCTGCTGCCGCCATTTGCCTAGACCAACGCCGCCAAATGCCCAGACCAAAGCCGCCACGATTTTGAGCAAGCTTTTAAAGTGGGTGATGGGTTTGACAGCACAGTCCAGGAATTCGGGGATGAGGCGATCGAGTGGTGGTTTGGTGAATTGGAGGCGTCACGACCCTTGGAGAGAAGGGGATCGGCGGAGGAAGAGGGTTTTGACGGTGGAGGAATCGGTGGTGGTGGTGGTGGCTGCGCCTCCATTTTCTCTCTCATCGATTTCTGCTGCCTATTGTGGGTTTGGGGATAGTGGGGGTGGTGGCACCGCGGTGGTTGTAAGGTGGGAATGGTGGTGGCAGTTACAACGGTGGGAGGGTGGCACGGTGGAGGCCCGGTGTTTATCTCTTCTGTTGATTTCTGCTGCTGATTGTGGGTTTGGGGATAGTGGTGGTGGCGACGTCGGTGTGGTGGGAATGTGGTGGCGCGGCGGCGGTGTAAGGTGGGAATGCTATAAGGTCAATTTTGTCTTTAAATTTTTTTTTTTGCCCTCACGTGACCCACGTGTAACGGACTTAAACGTTTTAACAAACTGAATTGTTCAATTTTTTTGAATTGTTTTTTTTTTTTTTTTTATTGTTTTTAAAAGTTTTTTTAAATTGTTTTTTAAACGGTTTTTTAAATTGTTTCAACTTAAAAGGTGAAAACAGAGACATACATACATATATATCTGTTTCAACTTCTAAATTGAAGGTGATATATAGACAGCAGTAGAGAAAACTATACTTCGATCGTCATTCGGAAGGTTCTCTCTCCTCTCTCTCCACTCTCTCTCTCTTCTCTGACTCTGAGTGTGTGCGTGAGCGTCCAGTTCTTCAAGAATTACTCAAGAATTCTTTCAAGAATCTTTATATTTGTTTAATTTTTCTGCTCCTCTTTTCTCTTCTCTTCTTCTCTCCTCTCCTCTTCTTTCCTCTCTCTCAGTTTATATGAGCGTACATTTTTTTTGTCTTTGCAGGTGTTATCGAATCAGAGTACAGAAAGCTGTTCCAGTTTTCGGTAAGATACTAAAATATGAACTCTCTCTCCTAACTCTCTCTTTATCTCTCTTTATATGAGTATGTGAGCGTTCAATTCTTGAAGAATTCTTTCAAGAATCTTTATATTTGTTTAATTTTTCTGCTCCTCTTTTCTCTTCTCTTCTTCTCTCCTCTCCTCTTCTTTCCTCTCTCTCAGTTTATATGAGCGTACATTTTTTTTTTGTCTTTGCTGGTGTTATCGAATCAGAGTACAGAAAGCTGTTCCAGTGTTCGGTGAGATACTAAAATATGAACTCTCTCTCCTAACTCTCTCTTTATCTCTCTTTATATGAGTATGTGAGCGTTCAATTCTTGAAGAATTCTTTCAAGAATCTTTATATTTGTTTAATTTTTTGTTGCTCCTCTTTTCTCTCCTCTTCGTTCCTCTCTCTCAGTTTATTTTTGTGTTGGCATGTGTTAACTTTTCCAGTATTCCAATTTTTGTTAGATAGTTCATTTGTTGATTCTTTAGTACTGCAACATATTAATTTAATGTTACTCTCTTTATCATTAACTTAGATTGAAAAGAGATGGATCACTACATGGATCCTCACATCATGCTTGTGCTGGACCCACGAGGGTGGCATTGCCACCGGTGGGTTCGAATGTGATCTACTTCCCTCAAGGCCATGCAGAGCATGCTTGTGAAATGGTTGATTTTACTAAGTCTCCAAAAGTTCCACCAATGATTTGTTGTAAGGTGTTGGATGTCCGTCTTGTGGCAGATTATGAAACCGAGGAAGTTTGTGCTAGAATTTGTTTGCTTAAACTTAATAGCAACAAAGCTGATTTTGATTTTCAATATGAAGCAATCCCAGATACACCCATCTTTGCAAAATGTTTGACGCACTCTGATTTAACCAGTAGTACCTTTTCAGTTCCCCACACTTGTACAAATGTCTTTAAACATTCAGTTGATAGCCAAACCATCATTGTAAAAGATGTTCAGGGTAAAGAATGGGACCTAATGTCTGGGTGGGCAAACTTTGTGGGTACCAAAGGGCTCGTTACAGGTGATGCGATAGTGTTCTTGAGGGCTACAAATGGCAACATATCTGTTGGGATTGTGAAGAGAGGCCTGAGGAGGGTGAAGGCAGAATCCGTCATTGAAGCAATGACTTTGGCTTCAAATGGAGAGCCGTTTCTGGTTCAGTATTTCCCTCGAGCATTGACACCTGAATTCTGTGTAGAGGCCTCAATTTTCGAAGCTGCAAAGAGTATTATTTGGTGGGTTGGGTGTAGGATCCAAATGGAATTTGAAAGTGAGGATGCTTCGGGGACACATTGGTTTAATGCAACTGTATCATCTGTTGGGGATTTCGATCCTATTTGCTGGCCTGCGTCTGCCTGGAGAACTCCGCAGGTATTTTCTGATTTTTTTTTGGGGTCAAATTTTGCACTCTGCCTAAATGTTATTCCTTCTTAAAGTCTAAGTAGTAGTTAGTTATATCTTTTTCCTTTTGCAGGTGATATGGGATGAAGACCACTGTGGTCTGCTTCAAAATGTAAATGCATGGCTTGTCACGGTGGCAGAGGACATGCTTCTAGTAAACCTGTCCCCTTCCTTAATACCAAAACCCCCAACTGATGCGTCTCCAGCCCCGGCATTCTGCAGCTTGACAATGCAAGTTTCAAAATCTGATCACGATGGAAAAGCTGATGAAGAGTGCGCATATGCGTCCCCCGCCACTCTTCAGCAGCTTGAGCAGGCAAATTCTGGAGTCCATATTGAATCTCAAGCGCGGCCTCCTATAAGGCTGACCTATCGGCACCGACCTCCTGCACGGCGCCGACCTCCTATACGGCTGACCTATCGGCGCCGACCTCCTGCACGGCGCCGACCTCCTAACGGCTGACCAATCGGCGCCGACCTCCTGCACGGCGCCGACCTCCTATACGGCTGACCTATCGGCGCCGAAGCAAGGAATAGTGTATCTTACAGCACATTAGTATTTCGCATCACTTGTGCTTTATGTTAGTATTGAAAATACAAATGCTGTCTTGAACAAGTTCAAATACATTTCTGTTTTTACACAATCCTCTTGGCAACTGAAATGAGAATCAAGAAATGCTTGGCCAAGATGATTCAAACACTCTATTTGCCTTGCTGAGATTTGGCTCCTCACAGTTTCCTGTATATACCCAGTTTGTGGAAGATGCCAGGAACCACTCCCCAGAAGGTAATTTCAGCATAATAATGTCCTTACTCTCTCAGAGTTCCAAACATCATTGAAAAATACTATTGAATCCAATTAATCTGCGCATTGCAATTTTATTGCCCAAAATTAGGTGATTTACCCATGTTTCTTTGAAAAAGCTTATGAGGAACCCCTTTGTGGAAGGGATGGATCCATGCTTCCAATTCGGATTGAGGATCCCAGTTTCTCATTGTGGAAACTGATCTTATGTCGAGTTAATTTACTAATCCATGACTTGGTAAAAATTTAATTTTCAAACTCTAAAACCATCTTAATTTTTTTAAAATCACCATTTCAAATTCCAAAGTCAAAATTTAATTGTTTTAAACTTTCGATATGTGAACAATACTTGTTATTCCACGTCAACCCAATATTTATAATAACCTTCGATTATTTAGTAAAATTTTTAAAAAATTAATTCCATCACATATATCATATTAATCTAAAATTCGAAATGTATTCATTTTCACTTACAAGAGTGAAGATGCATTTATGAATTGGTTTAAAATGCCATATGTTATAATCTACCAAGGATTGTTAATTCTTCACGACACCATTGCATAACCTACCTTTCAACGTGCCAACCTTACTTGGTACACAACGTTAATCATTCATGGAATTTATGTTACGACTTTCATCAAGCACAAATTTTCTTAAAAATAAATTAATGAAAATCATTTTAAGCATAAAAAATGCCAAATCTTTCATTACTGGCAAAAATTATTTTTAAATTCACACTTTTCATCTTGAATGTTTCTCATTTTCAAAATTCCTCCAAATGATCATTTTCAATCCAAAACTCCCATTCATTGACATTTGACACTACTCTTTCACTCTTCAAAGGTGCCTCGAATGGGGTCATTTTCATCACATCTTCGTAGGACTTCTCTAGGCCTATCATTTCTTTAGGATCTTTCTTCGTTTCAAAAGGTCCCTCAAACGAAGTCATTTTTCATCACACTTTCGTCACTTTTTACACATTTTCTAATCCTTCAGATTTGTATATACGTTCTTTAGGATTACATCCTGTCACTTATTTCTTCCTTAAGTTCATTTGCCCTATAAGAGTAAAGAAATCTTTTTTTTAAAGAGTTGGAAGGTGAACACCTCAAAAGAGTCAAGTCCAGTGCCATTGTTCAAAAACATGTATAAATCAATTGAACGGTACCCCAATTTGTGTTAGAAGTTATGAGTACCATATATACATGTATAATTAATTTTCTCCAACCCACTCTACGATCTATTGTGGTTGAGAGTTAAATCCCAACTTTATCACACACAAACAAAAATAATATCACATTAGATCAATACAAGTATATAGGGAGATAACAATCACACAGTACAATACAATCTCATACATAATTCACTCAATTCTAAAGTTACAAAAGAGATTTCACTTTTATGAAACAAGAAAGAGAACATACAATCACATGTCAAAATTTCACCCACTCATTTACTCATCATCTCTTTTGATGATATATCTATACACTCGGGAATTACATACACTCTCATCTTCTCACAACAATCATCCTTAAACCCATTACATATTTTTTATCTCTTATTCAAACCCATCTCTAATTATAGAGTCTTTGAAACCCAATTTCATGTTGAGCAAGAATTACACAACTTGTTTGCAATGAGTTATTATATCAATCTCAACTCTAAAATAGTTATTTAATGAGACACATTTATACACATAATTTTGAACCACAAACCCAACACACACACACACATATATATATATATAGATGAGAATCTTTGTGCATACCCAGCATGCCTAGCTTCATCTCTTAACAAGAGAAGAAGTCTTAGCCACCACTTGGTTGGTAGTGTTGGGATTTATATGCCCTGGCATGGCAAATTCCTATCTGGATTATAGTGACATATGTTCCTGACATATCTGAAATATTTATGATTTATATAATTGGTGAATTCAATGTATTATGTTTCGATTCACTATGAAATTAATAGTGTCCCTGTAATTACAAGAAATATTTATATATATGTATGTGATGGCAATCAATACATGATATATAAATAGTAATTATAAATTGTTCATAGTCGGTAATTATGGATGGACTCATAATTAATTAAGACTTGAACTGGATCCGCGTTAGGTTGAGATATATTGCGAGAGCCGTCGTATGTAATTACTCCTTATCACCGTCATGGCATTTGACTCTTAAGCATGAGAAAAGTATAGACTCTTTTATTAATTAATAATTACTTTGATTTGTTCGGCGGATTCTTCGGGATCCTTAGACCGACACTTTGGGTAGTTATATAATTAATAGTTAGAGGGTTATATTTTAAATATTTGCATCATTGCTACTTGTATTTATTTTATATTGATTATGGTTGATCACAAAGTAAATTCGAAGGCCTTCGTGTGTTTTTAGACAAAATGATTTATTATATATTTATTTATTTAAATTATTATTTTTGTCAAACAAATGTTTTATTGTGATCGAGTCAGAAATAATCAGAGGTACCAAAATAGATATATTAATTAAGTAGTCGGATTGATGACTTTATTTATCCGATAACTAATTATGCATAGAGGGGTCAAAGTGCAATATTGACTTAGAGGTTATTTATTATTTAATTGGAGTTCAATTAATTTCTTTTAGTGGAGTAGAAATTAATTTATGAATTAATTGAATTGGGTCCATGGACCGGGCCAATTATTAATTCATTGTAGCCAATAAAATAATAGGCCCAATGGATTCTCACTCATAGCCCAACTTGATATTGGAATCATATTAGATTTGAGACATATGAATTAGAGATGGAGAAGGATTTGTTGTTTCCTTTTCTTTATTTTTATGTTGCCTATAAATATACATGGTCTATGTATATTTTAGGGGGTGATTTTTAATGAGAAGGAAAAAGGAATTTATTTTCTCTCTCTAGAAAATTAGGGTTTATGTTCTCATCTAATGGAGGCTCCCACAAGCCTAGTTTTCCAAGGTCATTCATGGAGGCTTATGAGTGATTCCTAAAGGCAAAACAATTACCAAAAAGATGGAGATCCAAGAAGAAGGCATCTTGCTAAGGGATCTACAATAAGTGAGAACATTCACTTTAGAGGAAAGTTTTAAAGGTTTACTCAGACCTTTGATGTAAGTATTCAATCTGTTAATTGAATGATACATCATATTTTTATTTTTGCGTAAAAACTTGTCTCTATGTGATGAATCAAGATCTATGAATCAAAATTCCTCGAAAAGTTTTTAAAACTTGCACGTTTCCCAACAGTGGTATCAGAGCATGGTTTGATTTATTACTAGAGATCATGTTTTTATCAAAATTCATCATTCATGGATCCAATTTTGATATGCATATATATTTATTTATTGATGTATGTTGATGTATGATTTAATATGTTGATATATATTGATACATGATGATGTATGAATAATTGTGAATGAATGATGATATATGGTTGGGCCATGGATGAAGTTTATAGGTTAAATTAATGTAATTTTATCTTTGGATGAATGTAATTAAGGTTTTGATTTAGCCGTTTGAAAGTTCAGTGATGTAATTTATTTTTCCCATTGTATTTCAAGTTGTAAATATTTTTAAAGCCATGTAATATTCATCAAAGGATGCTATGAAGCTTCAAGAAGGTCCAAAAGGGTTAAATTATGCTTCAGTAATTTTCTGGAATTTTTCTGAATTTTTGGAATTTTTCTGGAATTTTTTAGGCTTAATTTAATTTTTTGGGAATTTTTCTGATTTTTCTGGAATTTTTCGGCGTTTTTCCGATGGCCGGAGCATCGCCGGCGGCGAGAAGAGGCATCGGAGGAGGCTGGAATCAGATATGGTGCATAGAGGGTGAGCCTGGCGCGTAAGGAACATGCGCCAGGAGGTGACATATGCTGGCGCGTGCATTGCACGCGCCAGCCAAGGTTGGATGACCTCCACGCGCGTGCAAGCGCGTGGAGACGCGTCCCACGTGCGTGATGGCGCGTCCCACGCGCTCCAGGCGCGTGCCAGCGCGTGGGGGCGCATGTCTTTACCTGCAACATGCCCCAAGCGCGTGTGAGCGCATGTGGGGCCCTCCAGGCGCGTCCAATCGGTGTTTTGCTTCTCCCGGTGCGTTCCAGCCTTATGTGGGTGTTTGCAAGCCGATCGATGATCTTCCCGCAATACTTAGAGTAGTTAAATGTTAAAAGCTGATTCCATTGGCCATTTTATTTGCTTTATCCGTCATTTATTTATTTATGCGATGTATGAAATACATGGAATATATAATTGTTAATTAATTATTATTCATGCATTGAATCCATGATATTTATTTAAATGGCTTGATTTATATTAATTAAGTTATGAAAATTAATTGGATTTGATTACTAATTAATTTGAGTGCACTTATTGGGAAACGCAAAATTATTTTTTGTAAATTATTTTTAAAGTGTGCTTCAAATTAAATATTAGTGAATCGTTTAAAGTCCAAATATTTTCTAAATTTAATTGGATTAAAATCAAGACGTTTCGCATGCATTATATCATGTAAATGAATAAAATGAAAACCCTAATTATGGATGATTAAAAATTGAGTGGGAGCGGGGATTTTTATACATTGCCCCATGGCCTTCGTTATTAACACCATTGTAATTATGTCTTCAAAAATAAGGCCCCACGCATGATTTGAAGAGTCTTAATATTAGAAGAATGGTTATCTCATAAAAATAATAATATTAAATGTTCATTGTAATTAGATCTTTAAAAATAAGGCCCTACGCATGATTTAAAGAGTCTAGATTATAATGACAAGATATTTAATATTTTATTTTTCATTAGAGCTTTAATAACGTTATACACTCAATCTAAAATCAATAGTGTTAGCTTCCCAACGGAGTGGTCTACACTAGGTGATTTTAGAAAGGCTAAATATAATCGGGAATTATTTCATATAGATAGACAAGACATTGTCTTAAGGAATATGGAGATGATGGGATTTGCCCGCCAATAACAATAATGAACTTCGCCAACCGAATAAGTTATTGGTGTATTGGTTATCCGATTTTTCATG